GGAGGGGAGCTGAGTGTTTTCTGTCTGCTGTTCCGTAGGGTTTGTGAATGGCTCCGCTCCACGAGAGAGGACTCTACGCTTCGGATTCTGTGGTGTCATAGTATAGTGTTGGGGACACCAGGGTGTTTTTGTTGTCTGCTGTTCCGTATGGTTTTTGATTGGCTCCGCTCCGCGAGAGAGGACTCTGCGCTACTGTTGCTGTGGTGGCATGGTATAGTGTTGGGGACACCGGGGTGCGACACTACACTATGACACTACACTACGACGACGACGAGGACGACGACGACGACGACTACGACGACGCCGACGACCACGGCGACCACGACGCCGACGCCGACGCCGACGCCGACCGACGACGACGACTACCACGACGACGAGGACGACGACGACTACGTCGACGACGACGACGACGACGACGACGGCGGCCATTGTCGCCGCCGCCGACGCCGTCGCCCCGTCCCCGCCCCCGCGTTTGGCGCGGGAGACCGTGGAGGAGGCACGGCGCCCGCCCCCCGCGGCCGCCCTCCCGCGGCGGAGGGGAGGAGGCTTCCTCTCTCCTCTCGCCTCTATCCCTCCTTTCTCCTCTCTCTCTCTTCGCTTCTTACGGCTGCCTAACTGTACTCCCGCCACTCCTCCCGCCTCCTCCCAGGTCCTTCCGCCTCCCCCCACCCCCACCGTAGCGAACCGAAAAAACATGTCCGTCTCCCCTCCTCAGCCGTAGTGTAGTGTCATAGTATCGTGTCGCACCCCGGCGCCTCCGACACTACACTATGACACCACACTAACCGCAGCGGAGAGACCTCTCTCGCGGAGTCGAGGTGAGCAACACGTAAGGAAAACCAATCAGAAAAACAACGTCGTCTGTCTCTCCCTCCTCAGCCGTACTGTAATGTCATAGTGTAGTGTCATACCTGGTATCCTCTGACACTACACTATGACACCAGACTAAACCTTAGTGTCGTGTCATAGTGTAGTGTCGTTGTCGCGTCGACATGACACACACACACACCTAGTGATGATAGTGTAGTGTCGTAGTGTAGTGTCGAACTTCACGGTCAAGATCTACTCTCCATGTTGATGTTGATGCTGATGATGATGCTGATGCTGCTGATCATGATGCTGATGATTATGATGATGCTGATGCTGATGCTGATGATGACGATGATGATGCTGCTGATGTTGATGTTGATGATAATGATGATGATGATGATGATGATGATGATGATGATGATGATGATGATGATGGTGATGATGATGATGATGATGATGATGATGATGATGATGATGATGATGATGATGATGATGATGATGAGGATCATGCGCACAGCCATGATGATGGAACTCGTTCGGGCCGTCTCTGGGGCTGTCTTGGCCTCCTGTGAGGCAGTCTTGTGGGGTTTCTTGATACCCTCTGAGGCTGTCTTGAGGCCTTCATGCGCCAGCTTGGGGCTCTCTTGGACCGTCTTTGGGCCCTCTTGGCCGTACGGTGGGTGTCTGGGGGCCGTCGTGGGGCCGTCTTGGCGCCGTCTTGGGCCGTTCAAGGGCCTTTAAGGCCGTCTTGGGTCCCACGGGAGGTCCTCTTGGGCCGTCTTGGGGCCGTCGTGGATGCCTTTTGGGCCATCGCGGAGTCAATGATTTTGGCTTCTTCGGACCCCTGTTCGAGGTCCTCTTGTTGCCATTTGGGGCCCTCTTGGAGGCATCTTGGGCCGGCTTGAATCAGTATTTGGCCGCCTTCGGGCCATCTTGGGCCGTCTTCGAGGCATCCTGGGCCATCTTGGTGTCCTTGGTTGCCCGCCCAGGCCGTCTTGGAAGCTCGGGACGCATATCATTCGTTTTTAACGGGGGATCGTTGCTTGGGAGGCGCTGGAGCGCTTGGTTGGGAGCAGCGCCTGGGAATGCGGGAAGTGCACGATCCTCGAGCGGGTGAACGTGGGAAGAGGGGCGGGCCTTTGAGTTTGCAGCCATTCGGAAGCACAATCCTTGTGCGGGCGCGCATGACAGGAGGCTTCAGGCATTAGCTGCCATTTGGGATGTGCATCATCCTCGAGCGGGCACGCGTGGAATGGGGGTTCAAGCATTAGCTGCCATGCGTGAAGTGTATTATCCTCGAGCGGGCACGAGTGGAATGGGGGTTATAGAGCATATCACTTTCGTTACGTCGTACAAACCCTTAACCAGCACACAGTAACTGATAGCGCGACTCTGCTGCAAGTACCAGGGGCGCAAGGCAGCATACACTATGCAATGCAAGCCAGCACGGACAACTCCAGAACAACAAGACAACACCAGTGGGAATCATGTGTCCCGGTGCAAGTGGAGCAAGTCATGCCATTTCTCTTGATTCATTCATGGATCCAATGGGCTTGTCGCTAAGTCGGTGGCTCGAGTCCATTCAATGGTCTTGTGGCCGACATCCATTAACTTCCGATCGCAGTCTGAAGCATTGTAATGGCTGGCGCCATGCCAAGGCCACCAGGTTTGCCGGATTTTCATGATCTAGTTCAAGCCCTGCATGGCAGTAGTCGGAGCTCGGAGGGCCATAAGATACTGCAGCCTGGGGCAATGCGCGAGAATATCCAACGCCTCCGTGATGTTCAGAGGCGTTCTGCCGACGATGATCATCATGACGGGCCGCCCCCATGCAGGGTTCGTGTGGTTGGGGACCCAGAGATAGTTGACAGCAAGGGCCGCTATCATCATTATTATGGCCCAGCCTTGCTTGTGAATATGGACAATCGGGGCATGGTGCGATCTCTGCAGTACGTAGGCGTCAGGGAAGATAACGACTACATCAGTGAGGTTTGGCATTACGACGTGAGCACACAGAGGTACAAGTACCTAGACCTTTCACAGATGCAAGGGGTATCCTCTTTCAACATTGCCCGGTGGAATCACGGACGGTTTGATGAAAATGAGCCTCAGTTCAGAGCGGGTGATGTGTCATGGGCCTCGGAGGCTGAACCATTTGCTGTTCCACCACAAGCTTTCCTCGAGAAGTTTCAGCCCAAGAGCGACACTTTTTTTGTTGATTGCAGAAGTGGCAACTTTGTTCGCGGTCCCGAGTACGAGGTGTTGAAGAAGGTGATTCAAGAAGCTTACGCAATTCCGCTTACCCCCAGAAGAGGATATGTGCGGCTTCCGATTTCGTTTGTGTTGTTTGCCACTTCCCGTCGAGCTGCCTGCGTGTGGTTGTTGCTGATTCGTCCTCATCCCCCTCGGCGCTTGTTGCGGGGCTTCTTGGAGGCCTCTTGGAGGCCTAGGGGGCCGCCTGGGAGTTGTTTCAAGGCTTCCCGGGGCTTTGGTTGGGGGCCATCTTGTGGGGGAGGGCTCCGGGGGTTCCTGCGTGGTTCCCCTCTTGGGTCTCTCTTGGGCCCTTCCTGGGGCTTCTTGAGGTGTTTGACCGTCTTGGGGGCCTCTTGGGCCGTCTTGGGTGAAATAATTTCAACCAAAGGGAATGCCATGTTTTTCCCTACCTAGGCTCTGCCTAGAAGGGTTCTTACTCTGTTAGCTAAAGGGGCCGGGCAGTGGAAATCGCCCCGGGCGGTTCCCCCAGTCCCCGCCCCGCGGTTCCCCCAGTCCCCTGGGAGCTTTAGCCTTAGCTTTAGCTTTAGCTTAGCTTTAGCTTTAGCTTTAGCTTAGCTTTAGCTTAGCTTTAGCTTAGTGTTAGCTTAGCTTTAGCTTAGCTTTAGCTTAGCTTTAGCTTAGCATCAGCTTAGTGTTAGCTTAGCTTTAGGTTAGCTTTAGCTTAGCTTTAGCTTAGCTTCAGCTTAGCTTTAGCTTAGCTTTAGCTTAGCCTTAGCTTCGCCTTAGCTTAGCTTTAGCTCAGCTTTAGCTTAGGGTTAGCTTAGCTTTAGCTTAGCTTTAGCTTAGCTTCAGCTTAGTGTTAGCTTAGATTTAGCTTAGCTTTAGCTTAGCTTCCGCTTAGTGCTAGCTTAGCCTTAGCTTAGTGTCTGCTCAGCTTTAGCTTAACCTCAGCTTAGCTTCAGCTTAGCTTTAGCTTAGCTTTAGCTTAGCTTTAGCTTAGTTTTAGCTTAGTTTTAGCTTAGCTTCAGCTTAGTGTTAGCTTAGCTTCAGCTTAGCTTTAGCTTAGCTTCAGCTTAGCTTTAGCTTAGCTTTAGCTTAGCTTTAGCTTAGCCTTAGCTTAGCTTTAGTTTAGCTTTCGCTTAGCTTCAGCTTAGCTTCAGCTTAGCTTCAGCTTAGCTTTAGCTTAGCTTTAGCTTAGCTTTAGCTTAGCTTTAGCTTAGCTTTAGCTTAGCTTAGCTTAGCTTTTAGCTTAGCTTTAGCTTAGCTTTAGCTTAGCTTTAGCTTAGCTTAGCTTTAGCTTAGCTTTAGCTTAGCTTTAGCTTAGCAGCTTAGCTTTAGCTTAGTTTTAGCTTAGCTTTAGCTTAGCTTAGCTTCAGCTTAGCTTTACCTTAGCTTTAGCTTAGCTTTAGCTTAGCTTTACTGTTACTACTAATGCTGCTTTCCTAGGGGCTCCAACTCCTAGGTAGGGTCGCACTGGGATAATTTCTCTTGACGCCCTCTTGGGACTCCTCTTGGGGCCCTCTTTCGGCGTCTTGGCCAGTCTGGAGGCTATCTTGAGTGTTCTTGAAGCCTGTCCGGCGCGTTGGAGATCTTTAGAGCCATATTGGAGAACATGTTTGGCATTTTGGCGGCCACGCTGGCTTGCTTTTGAGGCGCCTCTGGGGAGCTCGAGCCCCCCCCCCCTCTAACAGGATTGTGGGTTCTTGGGGAGGGGGAGTGGGGGTGGGGACAGCCGGGTGTCTCATAGGCCTTGTCACCCATGGCAAGCATGGATCGGCGGATTGAGAATCCATCAAAATTCGTGAAGCCATTATTCAGATCTTGTTCAATGGATCCAGACGTTTGGATGCAGCTCGCTGCGGCTGCCATAGAGCAATCAGAACAAACACGAGTAGGTCATTTTCCTAGGCCTTCCCGAGAGATGAAGGCCGTTCAAGTTGCACAACTGGTTTACGGCTTGACCGCCCGCGTTGCTGATGCACATTAGTTACAATGATATTGCTTTGATTATTGTTCCTGATCAGGTAGGGGAGCAGGGTGCTCTCAAAATGAGTATGACCAAACATGACCAAACAGAAGCTGCTTTGCATGGTAGCTTGCGTTCTCAGTTGTCAGAGCGCTCAAAAGTTTTGAACCAATGTTCGACTCTCGAAATCGATGACACCTCTAACAAGTCACCGCCGCCCCCTGTGGCCGAAGTAATAGTTGGAGTGCAAGTTTTTGGGGCTGCCGTGTCCCAGGTGGAGGCTTGGGCCATCGACAACGACTACGACGACACCGACGACGTCTCCAACGACTTCGACGACGCCAACGCCAACGACGACGACGACGCCGACGACGAGGACGCCGACGACGGCGATGGCAACGACGCGGACGACGACGACGACGCCAACGACGACGACGACGAAGACGACGATGACGACGACGTCGCCAACGAAGACGACGGCGATGGAGGAGGGAGGACGACGACGGCGGCAATGACGACAACGACGAGGGAGGAGGGAGGACGGCGACGACGTGAACGACGAAGAAGGAGGGAGGACGGCGACGCCAACGACGATAACGACGAGGGAGGAGGGAAGACGACGACGACGACGGCGACGAAATAGGAGGGACAACGACGAAACGTCGACGAAGACGACGAGGGAGGAAGGACGACCACGGCGACAACGACGACGGAAACGACGACGACGCCAAGACGACGACGACGAGGAAAGACAGAGGACGACGACGGCGACGACGACCACGACGACGAGGGATGAGGGAGGAAGGCGACGACGACGACGCAAGAGCGCGCGCGCACGCTTTTGTTGAAAATCCGTGTTGCGAAATCATGTGTTTGTTGTATGTTTTTCGGACACTCGATTTTGAACTCCTTCCGAAACCAAGGATTTTTGAAAGATTTCGGCATGCGCGCGCGACGACGCGCGCGTGCGCACTTTGTCTTAGTTTTTTGCGGAGGATTCTCGCGACGGCACGCGCGCAAGGGCGCTCGAAAGATTTCGACATGCGCGCGCGCGCGAAGCCCGTTTGGTAGCATGTCTTCAAAATTTTGGAAAACCTATGGTTTTCTTAAGATTTGTTCCAGCAATTCAGTGTTGCGAGACCCTTTGTTTTTGTATGTTTTTTGGGGGAACTCGATTTTAAAATCATCCCGAAATCGAAGGTTTTTGAAGGATTCTGGCATGCGCGCGCGACGCGCGCGTGTGAACTTCCTCTTTTTTGATCAACGAGAACGCGCGCGTATTTTTTACAAAGGATGACGGGGGGAGTGATACCGGCCTGGAAGGGATAGTATGAATTCACAGGTCGGTTGGACGAGTGTGCAGAATAAATATGAAATCGCAATACCCCAGGGGGGGCCGTTAACTCCGGAGGGGGGGGTGAGTCTATTCTTCTTTTAGAAAGGCGAATCTTTGTGGTGCAGTTTATGTTGGGAACGAGGAATAAGCGCGCCGCAGGCTCGAGCTCGATTTTTGTTCGTGCAGTCTATGTGGTGCAATCCGAAGGCGGCGACGGGCGGCGCCGAGGCGGCCACGGGGCGGCGACGGGGCGGCGACGGCGGCCACACAGCCGCCAAACCGAAGACACGGCCTAGACGTCGCGCGGCGACTGGCCGGCGACGGCGGCCACATACCCGCCAGACCGAAGACACGGCCCAGTTTTTTGGAACAGAACTAAGAACCCCTCAGTTCAAGCACGGTTTGGGGTATACATATATATATATGTATAAATGCATATGTATATGTATATGTATATATATATATATATATATGCACGTATGTATGTATGTATGTATGTATGCATGCATGCATGCATGCATGCATGCATGTATGTATGTATGTATGTATGCACGCATGTATGTACGCATGTATATCTGTATGTATGTATGGTTGTATGTATGTATGTATGTATGCATGTATGTATATATGTATTCATGTATGTATGTATGTATGTATGTATGTATGTATGTATGTATGTATGTATGTATGTATGTATAGTTGTATGTATGTATGTTTGTATGTTTGTACATATTTGCATATGCTTGTATTTGGTTGTATATATATATGTGTGTGTGCTTGTTGCATTGTTTTTGGTTTATATATGTATAACATTGTTGTTTGGTTATCCGTAAGAGTTTCGCCCATTACCGCCAGCCCCCTCTCTCTCAGAATTGCATGCCAGAGCTAAGTTGGGATGCAAGGATGCCGTCGTGAGCAATGTCGGGACTTCGCGAGAGCCAACATCGTACGGTACCGCTTGCACAGCAAACTTGATAACATCTTTCGGATTCTGACGGTTCGCACTGCGAGCTTGCTGACAATCGTGGTTTCGGGACGCGAACATCGCGTAATTTATTAGTGTCGTAGCTTCGGGGACGCGAATGCAGCGAACTTCGCTGAAGGATCGTGGCCTCGAGGACGCGAATCTACATAATGTATGAGTGACCGGGCCTCGGTGCGCTATGGTTTATGGTATCGGGGCGCGGATATTGAGTGATCTGCCAGGGATTATGGTTTCGAGGACAAGTCTGGCGTAACTTGCGAGGGATCGCGGCCTCGGGCATTTTAATATTGTAAAATTTATGGAGGACCGTGGCCTCGGCGACGTGGATGTTCAGTAATTTGCAAGGGGCCGTGGCCTCGGGGACGCGAATATGGCGTAAGTTGCGAGGGATGGCGGTTTGCAGGAAGCAAATGCGGCGTAATTCAGGAGGGATCGTGGCCTCGGGGACGCGCCTCTTGCGTACTTTGCCGGGGGATCGTGGCCTCGGGGGCGCGAATTTTGACTCGTGTAGGATGGAGTGTGGCTTCGCGGACGCGAACATAGTGTAATTTACGAGGGATTGTTGCCTCGGGGACGCGACTACTGCAGAACCTACGAGGGGCCGTGGCCTCGGCGACGCGGGCATGGGTTTTTTGTTCGAAGGAGCCGTGGTCTCGGGGACGCGGATCTCTCGTACTTTGCGGGGGATGCTGGCTGCGAGGACGCACCAGTTGCGTATTTCACGAGGCATCGTGGCCTCGGGGGTGCGACTACTGCATCCTTTGCGGGTGGATCGTGGCCTCGGGGCCGCGAACCCTGCGCAGTCTGCGAGGGCTTCTGTGGCCTCGAGGACGCGAGCCTTCTATAGTTCATTGGAGGTTCTGTCTTCGAGGTCGCACACGTGGAGCAAGCGCGAGGGGCCGTGGGGCGGGGACGCGAGCACTGTGTAACTCACAGGGGGTCGTGGCTTCGGCGACGCGGATGTTGCGTAATCTGCGAGGGGCCGCGGCCTCGAGGACGCAGCCGCGGCGCAGCGTGCGAGGGATCGTGTGTCCTCGGGGGCGCGAATGCTGGAGTGATTCAGGAGGGATCGTGGCCTCGGGGCGCGAGGCTCGCGCGTGGTTGATCTCATCGTGGACGATCAAGCGCAGCGCTCCTTGGCGGCTCCTCCTTGGGATGCCCAAGTGCTGCGTCGCGGTGATCACGGGGCTCGTCAAGCAGAGGAGTCGGGGACTCGGAGTGATCGTTCTGCTCGAGATATCCTTGCAGTCTGAGCGCGAACGGGAAATTATCCCTCTCATTGACAGTTCCTCCTTGTGGTGCTCAAGTGCCACGCATGCTACATCGTGGTGATCATGGGGCAATCGGTGGTGCAAGACAAGCGCCTCGCTCAAGGCATTCCCACAATCTGGGCGCGACTTTGCAAGTGTTCTCTTCCCTGCCCAAATGCCACGCCTGGTACTTTGAGTGGCCATGAAGCTTTCAAAACAGAGGGGCTGTGTACTCCAAACGAGAAACCCGCTAGAGAAACCACCACAATGTGTTGGCGATTGGGGGGTCCAAGGCGCAATCCAGAGTAGCGAACATATGCACCTCCATGGAGTCTCGAGGCCCTATTGCGGCACACTTCGCAAGCTTAAGAGCCATCATTCGGTAGGCTCACCCGGTATGATAATGGTGATGGTGAGGACGATGGTGGCGGTTGTGATGGTGAGGGTGGTGATGGTGGTGGTGATACAGATGATGACGATGATTATGATGCTGCTGATGATGAAGATAATGCTGCTGCTGATGATCATGGGGGAAGAGAAGGGGCCAGGAGGAGGAGGAGGAGGAAGGAGGAGGAGGAGGAGGAGAACGAGCGTGAGGGAGGGGGATGAGGATGAGGACGACGACGAGAACGAGGGGAGGGACGGGCGGGAGGAGGAGGAGGAGGAGGAGGAGGAGGAAGAGGAGGAGGGGGATGAGGAGAAGGGAGGAGGACGTCCGTAGCCATTTCGGCTAAAGCCATTTTGGCTCAAGTTCGAAACCTTGCCGCGAGGCTTCGAGCTTGTCCGCAGCCGTGCGGCAGGCTTGAACTTTTTCGGCGTGTGTTTTTCTCGCTTCCTGCTCAAGCCTGCCCGAGGCCCTGCAGGCTCCTCTTCACATCCATTCACGTCCATGGGTGAGCAGGTGCCACGCACTGAGGTGTGGTGCTGCCAGAAGAAGAAATGAGGGTTTCGAACCAATTGCTCGTGGAAGAAGTTTTGCTACAAGTGCGGTGCTCCTCGGCCTGTTGTTCCTCCTGTCACGCAGCCTCGTGCGGCTGAAGGTGACTGGGCCCAAGGACCTCCTGGCCACGGGACGCACGTCAATCCGAAGCACAATCTGCTCGAGCTTGAGCAGTTCGTCAAGCTTGCGCGCATGCCACGCGAAGGTTTTGACACGTGCAAGGGCCTTCAGTCACCGTTCCAGCGCACTCGAGTCGTTTCTGACATGGCTCTTGCTGCTAGCGGTCCCCGTGCTGTTCAGAAGCATGCTCAAGTTGTGCTCGACGATGTCAAAGAGCAGCTCGCGCAGACCACCAATCGGATCAACAAGGTCGAGCCCGAGATGGAGAACAAGGTCATGGAGTTGGTCGGGCTCAAGTGCACCTACGGGTCGTTGCCGCAACAGGAGCGCGCCGCCTCTGTCGAAGCGACCGCGGCCTGGGCGCAGTGCGCCTCAGGCGGTGTGGGCGCCCGGAACGGTGCTGGAGTGGCGGTGTCGACCGGCGGCCCCGTGTTCGCCCTGCTCATGCAGTTCGAGTCGCTGGACTCCACTCTGGCCGCTTCGCTGCGCTCTTTTTTTGGGCACACGTGATTCTCTTCTGCTCCCCGCCGAGTCGGTGCGTGACGACGACGGCCACGGCAGTGATGAAGATGCAGTATCTGACGGCGATTCCGACGGCATACAGGGCGCCCCATCCAGGCGATGTGCTTGCCGCCTCGGAGGTGCCCGCGGCCGCGGCCGTCGACGGAGCAGCGCGGGCCATCTTCGGCCGCCCTCCCTTGGAGTCACCGTTTGTGCCCAGTGCGTCACCTGCCGCCTCGCCCTGTTGCGGGGGGAAGGGCTTGGATCGGGGACGGGGCTTGGGTGCGTCCAGTTCCTCAAACAGCTTGCCACCGACAGAAGCTGGGGCGTCTTCATGTCCAAGTATGGCACCAGTCGCAAGCACGCCGGGAACATCTTTGGAGGCATCAGCGATGCAGCTCAGAGGAAGCTTCGCCACGCACCTTTCAGCCCGCCCCCCAGCACTGGAGCGCTCAGTTTCTAGCCCTGAGAAGGGGCAAGGTGTGGGCGGTAGTCTCAGCCAGTGTTGGAGTTCATGTTGGCCTCGGTGCGCATCTCAATGGGTGAATATCCCGCGTCCTCTTCGTGCAAGAGACCAGGATTTCTAGCATGCAGCAAGGCTCGCTTGCGCTCGTCTGGCTGGTCAGCCTCTCTCACGGCTGCGCTGCTTGCTCTGGGCAATGCGACTGGATGTTTGCTCACTGCGACGCCAAATTGCATCGGGCTCGCAGCGTTGGGTTCGGTCAGCTGTGTGCTTCGCCATGCGCGTGGCAGCGCGCATCATGTCGGGGGTAAGGTGCGAGGAGGTTTCTTGGCAGTTAACCTGTGCCACGTGCGCTCCGTGGGCATCGATGAAGCAAGTTGGGATATGCTCTGTGAGAGCGGCTGGCATCTCAAACGAGCTGGCGCCCCAGTCGTCGTCGGAGGTGATGGGGGTTTCCCGCGCGCCGACCTTGTCAAGACTGGTTGGGTCAACGCGGTGGGCGCCTTGGTCGTGGCGCCCAGCAGTGGCGCGTGCCGTCCAGCCACGCGGTGTATTGACTATTTCCTTGTTTCGCGTGCCGTTGCAGGTGGGGCCAGGGCTGAATAGATCCGCGACGTGCCCGCCCCCCCCCACTGCCCCGCCAGGTTTGCCTTTCCTTCGTTCGAGCCCGTTTGCGACGTCAGGTGCGTCCAAGCCACCCGCGGGTTCCCTCGAGGGCTCCCATGGGCTGCGCTGGGCC